GGCGAGCGACTGCCTCACTTGGGAAGAGCGCAATGATAATACCAACATGGGCCAGTGAAGCGACATCCTCCACAACTAGACTGAAGAATGAAAGGACAGCAACTTGTCTGTTCCCCTTTCCCGATTTGCAGACGCTGTACCCCTCCCCCAATTCCCCAATAAAATCTTAAAAATAAGAAATAAAAAAAAAAATCCTACCTTTTGTAATCATAAGCCCCAATTAATGGTTTTAATGATGAATTTAAATCCAGGGGAAAAAAATGGAATACTTACTCTCTTATCCTAAAATGTAAAGTATTATTAAAGAAATGCTTTGAGCAATACTTTATTTTCAAGTATTTGAAAGATATTTGCTGCCTACTTTGAACTTGCCAAATTCAAAAGTTTGGCTGCAAACTAATTGGAATGCTAACTATATATCACCACCTAGTGGTAATGCAGGTCATAACGGTGGCCAATAAAGGAAAGGTATTTCCCAATATAGTGATTCAAACATATTTTAATAATTGAGAACACTGGAGTTAGTGCAGTAATTGCGGTGTGTTAACTTCTATAGAGCAGTGTTTGGTGAAACAATTCATGGTACAACTTCTCTTTTCAAATAGTTTTTTCAGTCTCCTTTGCAAAAGTAAAGTTTTTTATATCTAAATGTTATACAATTTGATACATTTATATTAAAATTTGATAATAAATTCTTATCAAGACTCTGAGATGTTCATTCTGTTTACTACAACAAGTGAGTTAGTATCTAGTAAACATTTTCTTTTCTGAAGGTCTCAGTGTTTACTGAGCTGCCAGTTCTGGTATTTAAAAAAATAATTTTTCTTAAATGTTTTTAAGTTTTTTAAAACTATTAGAGGTATGTGTTATGTGTATGATATTGAAGTAGAAAACAAAATGGCCCATGATTCTATCATCCAGATAATCCTACTGACATTGGGGAGAGAAAGTCAAGCAAGATATTATAAGAAAATTAAAATCAGTCTTTTACCACTGTGTCTTTCTAAGATAACCACTTTTCCACTGTGAGTTTAATGCCTATATTTGTAGAAGAAAAAAAACTCATGAGCCACATTTGCATATTTAACCAATTTAATTGAAATGCCTCCATTTGTTGAGATATAATATGGAAAAGTTTAACTTTGTTAGTAACTGTTAGCCATGGTTTTTCACACACCTTTTTCCTGCTAAGGAGTAAGTTCCCTTAAGGACACTGTCATAACTTTTTCTCAGCCTGTTTCATAACTGCTAAACCCTTTCAGTCACTAAAATAATCTCATTCTGATTATTAAAACATGTCTTCTTTATTTTAAATTATAAGTGTTCCTCTTTTCTCAGCACAGGCTTATGGAAGTGCTGGGGAGGGGACGATTATTTTCTGTTTCATAAGTTGCCTTCCTCTTGGAGCTCAGACTCTCTTCACTCTACCTATTGATGTGCAGCCTGGTGGTACCACTTGTTAGGTTTTTGTTTGCTCATTTTTGGCTTTTGTAGATATTGGTGGCCTCCAGGGATTAGAAGTAGGGGCTGTATACCCCTTCAGCTCTAACCTCACCACTGAATATGTTAAAATGAAAGCACAAGCCATTGACCAAATTCTGCCAACTGTACAAACATTGATTAGAACCATTCGTTGGGTCTGCTCTTACTAAAGGTAATCACCATGTTTCACATACACATACATACCAGTGGCTCCTACCCCATTCTTGTGGCTTAGAGAAAGCCAGGTTGTCCTTAGTCCCTTCTTAGATCTTATTCATCAAAGAGTAGTAGAGCCTGTACCATCTGCCAAACCTCCGACCCATCGTCACCACTTATTCCACCAATGAAAAGCCATTTTCTAGTATTCCTTACTATACTTATTAGCAAATCCTCTGGTGTAGATTTTGATAAAGTTATTTGAAAGCCAAGTACTTCTGTATGTTGGTTAGAATACTTCAAATATAACCAATCAGGGCTGGCTGAGTGACGCGTTGGTTAAGAGCTGGCTTGGGACGCCAGAGAACCCCGGTTCAGATCCCACATATGAGGGCCAGTGACACTGCCCTCTACAGCTAAGATGCTGAACAACAGCTCAACCTGGAGCTGGGCTGCCGTGAGTCACCAGCAAAAGCATAGGCTGCAGCCCCTGTGGCAGTGGGTTGCCATGGGCTACCGTGTGTAGCCAGCAGCCAGCGTGAGCGGCCAGCAGCCGCAGTGAGCGGCCGTCCAGAAGCTGGTGACTGATCTGCCTCACCCTGGAAGAGCGCAATGATGGTGCCAACTTGGGCCAGTGAAGCAACGTCCTCCACAACTAGACTGAAGAACAAAAGGACAGCAACTTGTCTGTTCCCCTTCCCCCAATTCCCTAGTGCTGTTCCCATCCCCCAATTCCCCAATAAAAAAAAAATCTTAAAAAAAAAAAAATATATATATATATATAAAACCAATCAGCCCAGAGGTGTGATTTTTGATACTTGAAATGTTAATTAACCATTCCTAGCGTTTAAAGTTAGATGAGATACATGCACAGGTATTGTTTATACTTAACTACTTTAAAAATAAATTTCCACAAAGACATCTTAAGAGAATTTTGTAATCAGAAGGGACGGTTCATTTTATAGATGAAAAATTTTAAGTACAGAGATAAAAAAGCAAGTTTAGTGAAGGTTTAATGTCACCAGCTGCCTGGTGACGAAGCCATTATTTGGTAGGACTAACATCCTTTCACAATTACTCTTTTCTAGAAACTCCCTGGCTCTTCCCTTATACTTTTTCAGTTTACTAATAATTATTTGGTCAAGTTTCACAAAAAAAGTTTTAATAAATGGTATAACATTAAATTTATAGGATAATTTAGGGATAACTGAGATGTGCTTTCAAAATTTCATGTGAGAAAAAAATGTCAAATGAGACATTTCCCTTACCTATCATATTTGCTGCTCACCCTGCCCCCAATAAAGAATAAATAAAGGGAAAAAAGGTTCATTCTCAGAGTTCAGACTAAAAATATTGTTGCTTTCCTGTGCTCATCTGCCTCCGTCCACTCCACCTACGTCCGGGTTCTTTGGTCCTCTGGACAGAAATCTGGAGCTTTGGTTACCCCACTCTGCCATGTTCTTCCCACAATGGTGCCTGCATCTGGGGCCACATGATGGGAGAGCTAGAAAGAGAAGTGAAGCAATAGGGGCCCACTGTACCTTCCTGGGACCACAGCTTCTCTGATCTATGAAGAAAGGTCTCTCCCTCAGGTTTCGGTTCCTGTGGGCGCCTGTTGACTTCACTTCTGCCGCCGCCACGCCATTGCTGTGGCCTGGTGCATGAGAGAACAGAGAATAGAAAAAGGAAAATAAAGAAAAACGAGGTGCTTTACCTAGTCTCTCTGATATTAGGAGTTCTCGTTCCCATCCTTTCTTACGACAGAACTAAAGGGCTTCATCTGCGGCTCTCTCTCAGCCCCTTAGTACCCACTTCACTTAACAGGTTTCGAGCTATAGAGTTCTGGCCAGGGGAATATCAGAGGGGGAAATATGGTCAACTCACCACTGGTTGCTACTGTTTACTTCTCAGTCCTCAAATAACTGCTTCGTGCATTCTCTCCAAGTTTAGAGTTGTGTTTAGAGGGAGATGCGGGGTGGAGTGTGCTTACTCCATCTTACCTGGAACCGGAACCCAACATAACCTTTTTTGAGAAGCTGAACTGAGTCTATATCAATTGGGAACTAATAAATTATAATACACCCATTCAACAGAATACTGAACAACTACGATAAAGAATGAGACCACTCTGTAGGTGCTGATGTGTAAGGGTTGTCAAGATGTTAAATAGCAAGCCACAGACCATTTGGGGAGACACATTTATAAATATGTGTATTTATGCTTATAAGTGCATAAAATAATTCTAGGAATATACAAGAAATTGGTAACCATGGTTCTTTTGAAAAGAAGGACTAGAAGCTGGGAGACTGGGGAGACGGGACCCTGACTGTTACCCTTGTGCCATTTGCATGTATTACCGATTGTGACAGGTCAGGCTGCTCTACAGACTTCAGGTGGGCCTGCTGACACAGTAAGAAATAAACCAAGGGAAGAGATAACGGGTGCAGTGAGCATTTCATTTTATGGAAATAGATTGCCCTTCCTTTGAACATTCACTTAGTCCTTTCACCAGGTGAAATGCCGTGATAGCCAGTAGTTCTTAGCTTCTCTGACCCAGCTGCTAGTCTTAGGGCGTGCCTCCATGGGGAACTAGGGAGGCAGGCCCCAGGTAGCCTTAGCCACACCCATGTATTCTTTCATTCTTTGAGTGTCTTGTTGGACAGTTCCATTGTGAACTGAAGAAATTTAATTGAGGGTTAATCTTTGAACCCTGACTACCCTTTGTGCTCTGTCCCAGCCCATTTAATATTTAATATATTGGGTTGTCGGAAAAGGCATGATGTATTTTTTCTGGTTTTTCGTTGCAAAAATGCGTCATGACTTTTCCGACAACCCAATATAATAACATATAGTAATTTTAATTATAATATATTAAAATTTAAAAAATAATATATGATTTCATTTTAATATATAATATATAAGTTGTGTGTGTGTGGTTTTTAAATGCTCCATTTTTAAGTATATACAAACACCCAATCCCTTTAAAGTTATCTTAGGCATGTATTTTTTGTTTCAGGCTAATTCACCTAAATAAGATTGATCCCCATGCTCCAAATGAAATGCTGTATGGACGAGTGGGCTACATCTATGCTCTCCTCTTTGTGAATAAGAACTTTGGAGTGGAAAAAATTCCTTACAGCCATATTCAGCAGGTACCACGTTTATGTGCTTTTTGTAGTCTTTTTAGGACCTCACTTCCTCTCTGCCTCAACTGTTGGTTTTATTTCTCCAGTTAGCACATCCCAAGTAGCTGGAAGGTGTATCTTGACCTCTGAAGGTCAGGCATGACCAGAGAACCAACAGCTTCATGCTGAGTGCTGTTGGAGACACTGTAGAGAGTGACTCAGTAAGTGGTCCAGGCTGCTCCGTTGGAAAGGTAGAGGCCCTTTCAAAGAAGATGAGGGCCAGATTATACCTTCCAGGTGCAGGTGTCTCCTGCGGTGCCGGAAGGACTTGATGCTTTCCGTTGACAAGTGAATTCTTGTAAACTCTAGAGAAAAGAGTTCAAGATACTTTGTAGATAGAATATAGTCACACCTGCTTCTCTGAGTGCAGAATTAAACTGTACCCTTCGATGCCTAAGACGGTGTCTGATTTCCACATTCCCCAGGATCTCGCAGCAAAAAGTTTCTCACCTCAGTCAGGACGGTTTTCACTCTGATTCTCTCCTTATTTTGGTTATTTTGATAGATTTGTGAAACAGTCTTAACATCTGGAGAAAACCTAGCTAGAAAGAGAAACTTCACAGCAAAGACTCCACTGATGTATGAATGGTACGAGGAGTATTATGTGGGGGCTGCTCATGGCCTGGCAGGAATTTACTACTTCCTGATGCAGGTAAGAGGCGATGACGGTGAGGCTTCAGAGTGTGCTTCCTGACTGGACTGTCAGGTCAGAAGACAGGTGCCCCGGCTCTGTTTTTTCATCCCGTTGACCACTGCATCACTTCCCTTGTAATTACCTGGCCTAGACAAACAAGGTAATGTTTGCCAAGGCGCATTTTCAAGGATATAAATATACAAGGCACTGTGCTTCGAGATGATTTTTGATTTGTAGGTGACCGTACGTGCCTACCTAGGTCCACTTGTCCAGACTAAAGTGTTTTGACCTGTTCTTCTGTATAAAGTACCTTCTGCACTTGTCATCTCTTTCAGCAAATGCCTTGAATTAAGAAAATTACTCCACATTATAAGGTACAGCCAGTGAAACAAATTCCAGGTATACGAGCAAAATCAATAGAAAACAAATGAGCATATGTTGCCTAAGGCTCACTTAGAAAGCAAAGCTAAGGAGCCTTTCCAATGGATTTTGTGTAACCTACCCGAAAAATAGCTGAATAGGCCATGCTCAACAGTTCTTAAGATCTAATACCATTGGGGGACATCAGCCAAAGTCGAATGGACTGAGGACAAATAGAATTTACTGAAGCCAGCATAATCAGAAAGGAGGTCAGAAGAGCACTTCTCCTAGGGGCATCATTTCTGGGTCTTATTTAGCTCTCTTTATGGAGAAATTGGCACTTGCGAATAAGAAGAATTCATGGCAAAAGAAAATTGATTTTTAATGGTAGCACAGTATCCCCCTCACCTTCCCCAAGTACAATGTGGCATAAAGAAAAGCGTTTCATTAATGTGTTCAACATGAGCGCTTGGATGTGCGTCCTACTCGCTGGTTGAATAGCTGGCTGTAATAATGCAAAATCAATGTCAGATCTGCCCTCTCCCCATAACTAAACAATGACAGCGATGCTGAAAAACTCAAGGTTATTATTGCTTTTGAATACAGAGTCGCACTTTGAGGGTCAGTGGCAGTAAGAGCCCAACTGTTGTATTCATTCTGCACTTCTCAATTAAGAGTTTTATACTTAGACGTTTCAATAATTTAGACTTAAATTCCTTGATTTTTTTCTGGCATATCCCCTCCTTGGCTCTCTATTTCCAGAAGTAAATGTAGATTCTTAAAAGTTTTCAGGAAAGGAGAGTTCGTGCCTTCTGAAGCTTCGAGGTGAGTTAGAGTCCTACATGTCAGTGACTGGACAAACACATGACCTTTCACTGAAGCAGATAATCAGGAGGCATCTTACCTTTGCGTCTTTTCGTTCTCTGTAGTAAGAAATCCGGAAACCCAACTACTCAGTTTCCATTAGCAGATTATCTATTTTAAATGATTTAATTTTTAATCCTGAAAGTCCATTCCAGGAGGTACCTATGTATCAGTATAAAACAACCTTTTTTGGCCATCTTGGATAATTCCTGAAAGTTTGAGGAGAATCCATCCATTCCATGCTAGCATTTTAAACTGAGTTTGAACAATATTCTCTGGCTAAAGTAAAATCTGTACGTGCCCTAAAGAGCATAGCATACGTTCAGTGTCTGCAAGAGCCTTCCCGTCAGAATCGCCTCGTTCCCTGCCACCTCAGCCTCCTGCCGGGGCTTCACACTACTGCTGCCTCTCATGCCCACAAGCCCACCCCAGACCTGACAAAAACAGCACTTTGAATTTGTTGTTGAAAGAAGTGAGCAGTGCTTTGAATTAAGAACAGGACCCAAAGGAGAAACTAAAAATTATATCAAAAATGGAGGCTCATATGCCTTATGTCAGTGTGCTCTACAAATCTGTACATTCCTGGATCAAAATCACCCTGCATAAGTGTCAGTCCCAAATCCTCTTCCAAAAGGCTGGATCTAGAGGCATGCCACAGTTTGGGGTCTGGATCCCAGGTCTCCTAACTTGTTCGCATCCCCTGGCATCCCCTTCCATTGGAAACATCACCTACCACTTCTCCAACTGTAACAATGAAAATTGGTTTTTGTCGGGTTTTTTTGAAAGTTGTGAAAGTTGTGCTTGGTTTGTCTAATGCATCTCTTTGTGGCCTTTAATGTATGTTAAGGTATTAAGACCTTCGATAACTTCTCTTACTCTCACCTTCTCAAGCATTGACTTAGGAAAACTATATGTATGTAGATAACAAATATTGAAAAATAATACGTGCATATGGTTCCAAGAGTTAACTGGTAGCCTAATTTTAGTCTAGTAAGTGAAAAAAAAAATGGATTGGAATCTACTTCTTCATTTTTTTCAGTTCCTTTTGGTCATGTTTTCTCTCTGATTTAAAACTCATTCCTGAGACTTAGGAAGATCTATCTCTTTGCTTCAGCAGAACTAATAATTCCCTTTCTCATTTTTAGCCCAGCCTTCACGTGAGCCATGCAAAGTTACACAGTTTGGTCAAGCCCAGTGTAGACTATGTCTGCCAGCTGAAATTCCCTTCCGGCAATTACCCTCCTTGCGTGGGCGATACTCGAGATCTGCTAGTCCATTGGTGCCACGGCTCCCCTGGTGTAATCTACATGCTCATCCAAGCGTATAAGGTGCTGTGTGGGTTTTCTTGTTTTATAAATAAATTGGAAACCATGCCATTAAATTCTATAATTTAAAATTAGTTTTATACATAATCTTCAAAGGAGCAATAGATAAGTCACTTGTTGGACCTAAGATCAGTTTTGCTAAATGGATTATAACTCATTCTCACAGTATCCATCTGTATCAGAGCAGACATGATTTCACAGAGCAGAAGACTGCTTCACTGACAAGCAAGTAGCCAGCATTATAGCATCAGTGGCAGAGCCATGATGAGTATCCCAGGAGCTCAATTAAAAATAGAAAGAATTGGCCTCATGCACTGCTGGTGGGAATATAAAATGGTGCAGCTGCCAGAGAAAAGAGTTTGGCAGTTCCCCCCAAAATTAAAGCAGAATTAACACATGATCCAGCAATTCCACTCCTACGTATTTACCCAAAATAACTAAAATCAAGGATTCAGATACATGTACACCAGTGTTCCACGGCAGCATTATTCACAACAGCCAAAAGGTGGAAGCAGTCCAAGTGTCCATCAACCGATGAATGGATAGACAAAATGTGGTGTATACATACATTGGAAGAGTATCAGCCATACTGATGAATGAACTCCTGATCCATACTAACATGTATGATCTATGAAACTGTTACATGTGAAATAAGCCAGCTACAAAAGAACAAATACTATATGATTCCGCTTATATGATGTGATGGTTAATATGAGGCAAATTCATACAGGAAGAAAGTAGAATAGAAGTTACCAGATGCTGGTGCTGGGGGAAGGGGGTGCAGATTTGACAATGGATACAGAGTTTCAGTTTGGGATGATCAAAAAGTTTGGAAATAGATAGCGGTGATAGTTGTACAGCATTGTGAATTTAATTAATGTCACTGAATTGTACACTTTAAATGACTAAAATGTTAACTTTTATATTATGTATATTTTACTAAAATAAAAAAATAAATAAAATAAATAAAGTAAAAAATATATAAAATAAAATTTAAAAAAATGCCAGATCACTTCTAGAAAGCCCGCTATGGTAGAGTCATAATCAAAGAAGAAAAGTTTTTTATTTGAGGGTGTAAAAAAAAAAAAAATAGAAGTTAACCAACATATCTATGTCTATTAGTGCCAAATCTACAAATTACAAATCTATGGACTGTAATAGGCACTGGCATCTCATAGTCTAAGCAAGCATTTAGTATATCAGACTTCACGTTGAGAAAGTTGGGTATAATGGAAAAACTTTTAGAACTGCCTCATTCTACTTTTAAGGACACTTAGTTTGCAGTGAGATATTTAAAATGTCTACTCAGAACATTTCTCAAGTCTCTGATCAAGATATAGAAGGCCACAAAAGATTGTCAAGGTGTATCTCTATTTTTCTGACAAAGTATAGTGTTTTATAACCAAATCAGCCTTTATAATCAATTTTATAAACAGTTTCTTTTCCGGCATGTAAAGAAACTTTCTTATTGTGAAGGGCATCATTGTTACCGAGGAAGATAGCATGTGTTCTTTGAAAAGTGACGAATGATAACAGCAAGTTGCAAGAAGAATAATGCTGCTTCACCAGTAACTGCTTCACCCACATACACATGACACTTAGACCATGCAGACAAGGTCATGACCAGTTATTTAGAAAGAAAAAAAAAAAAGCTAGTGAAGTTTTGTAATTTGTCCCTACCGATGTAACTGGGGACAGTTGGCTCTGAATCTGCCTGGTTCTGAGTCCCTTAACCCTTTCTTGCCAAGTCACCTCCCTCTCTTCTCCCGTCAGGAAGGAATGTCAGTAGAATTTTCTTTTATATCCTTTATAATAAGACTATGCCCCTCGCCTCTGCAGGTGTTCAGAGAGGAGCAGTATCTCAGTGATGCCTATCAGTGTGCTGATGTGATCTGGCAGTACGGCTTGCTGAAGAAGGGGTACGGGCTGTGCCATGGCACCGCAGGAAATGCCTACGCCTTCCTGACGCTGTACAACCTCACGCAGGATATGAAGCACCTGTACCGGGCCTGTAAGGTAGGAGTCAGAACTGCCGAAAAGAAAGCACCTTCTCCCAGGAGACTATAGAAAGGTCTCTAGTTAATCTGATTTAATTATTGGGCTGTCGGAAAAGTTGTGACGCATTTTTTCTGTTTTTCGTTGCAAAAATGTGTCATGACTTTTCCAGCAACCCAATAGTTTCTTTTTCAAACCAGAGATCTCCAGAAAAAAAAATACCATTATTTAAGAAAAACTTCAAAAGCCATTCAGTTGAACTATTTTTTTTTTAAAAAGGACATAATGCTCCCCAACAGGTAGACAATAAGGACATAATATACCCAACAGGGGACAAGAAGGATGTAGGGTGGTTTTATTCCTTCCTTCCTTCTGTGCTAACCTTGGAGATATGTGGCTCAGAAGCCCATTAAATTCCCCCCATGTTTTGTACTCTTTCAGGCCATCCGTTTCTCTGCATTAGCGCCTTTTCTCAGCCTCAAAGATAGTTTTTGACTTTTCAGAGTAATTCTTAGGGACAATCTCTGTCAACTTTTGGGGCTCTTTGGAAGAAATCACTACAGTAATTTAATTTGGTCTCATTTTCAGTTTGCTGAATGGTGCTTAGATTACGGAGAACACGGATGCAGAACACCAGACACCCCATTCTCCCTCTTTGAAGGTATTTTTCACACATTACTTGTTTACCTTATAATAGCAGCACCTACTTCTCTGCTTGATAATTAATGTATTTGATTTTAAGTTTCATTAACAAATTTTATAGTAATTTCTTAAACTACTTATTTATTTCCTAATACAACCACTCAATATTAAAAATCAGTCAGGGGCCGGCCGAGTGGCTCAGTTGGTTAAGAGCTCACTCAAGAGTGCAAGCTCTGAGCAACAGGGTCACCAGTTGGATTCCCAACCCAAGCTGAGCTGCCGCTGAGCTGTCAACAGGTGGCAGGATGGCTCAGCTAAAACAATTAGTTAATTAATTAATTAAAAATAAAAATCAGTCAGCACACAGAATGCCACAGTCTGAATGCCAATAGTCATAAAGGTGACGACCATTTGTGGAGCTAGGCACGTGCTGGGCATTTTCTGTGCGCTGTCTCAGCCAAAACACAGATGGATCCTCATGTCACAGATTGAGAAGACTGAGGCCCGGGCAGCTGAGTGGCCCATGGCACGCACATATGGGAAATGGCAGGGCTGTGCCTTGAACCCGGCTGGCTCCACTCTCCCTCCTGTCTTTCACCTGAACACCTCACTAGTGATCCCCTCTAATATTGAACTGCGGGAAATACAGATATAGACATGTCATTTAAATCATTGCCATTAATATCATAACGTTGATGCTCCCACAGAAAGCCACTCTAGAAAATAGAGTCATTCGGTGCAATAACTTCAATAACTTTCATCTCTTTCTCTTCCTTCAGGAATGGCTGGAACAATATATTTCCTGGCTGACCTCCTAGTGCCCTCGAAAGCCAGGTTCCCTGCATTTGAACTGTAAAAGCAAAGCCTGCCTCTTGCAACTCACTGCATGACCCTTTCTGTATATCAAACCTGCACTAAGTGCTATCATTGCTTTTCAAGGAGAGTCAAACTATGTACTTGAGTTAGTTGATTTTTTTTTTCAGAATTTGTCTTTAGTTCAGGTCTTTTCTTTATCATTTACTTTTATTTTAAAATATCCAAGGGAATGTTTTAACTTCAGTTTCTTCCTAAAGGGAGGCTGGGCGATATGTACTGTATTTTGAGGGTATGTGTATATATAGTTCAGAACTTGGAGGAAATCTTAACTCTAAGCTTATAAATATAACAGTCTGTTACTTACTCTTCTAAAAATGTATCAAAGAAACTAAATGTAGATAAACGAAGATAAATATATGGTATTGTAGGACATCGCCCTTCACCTCTGCTCTTTTGTATTTTTTCTCCGATAGGACAATTTTATGAGTTTGCTTTTCTCTAAGTGGTTGATTATGAAAGGGGACAAAAGTATAACTGTATGCTTCCAGGACAAAAACTGCAAGAGTTGCAAACTGGGTTAGGGACGTAAATAGCATTTTTCAAATGCACGATGCTTATTTAAACCAGAGATAAACATACTTTCAAATTTTCCTCTTTTTGTTAGTAAAGCATCCAGGCTCTAGCCAACATTTTAATCAAAAACTTCTAAAATGCAATGCCATTGTGAAAATTCTGATTTGAAGGTTAGTTGAAGATAAGCTAACAATAATAGTTTACGTTTTCTCTAAAATAAGCTAGTGTGTTTTGGAACTATTTATTTCAATTTGCTTGTTCTCTTGAACTGGTAGGAGTTCAGGAAACCAGTGCTCAGTGTAACTATGTTGAGAACTAGGGTTAGAGTCCACGCTGCCTGACTGGCCCTCTCAACTTTGACTGATTTTGTAATGACTGTGCTTCCTGCTGACTGATGCAAGCCATATTTTCCTTTCTATCAATCTGCCTGGACAGTGGTCTTTTCACTAAATAGCACGGCACTCTACCTCCCTTTAAAAGGAGGGAGGGTTGATTTTATATATACAGTATATATCAATTAACTTGAACAAAAACACTAAGCTTTTGATAGAAACCCAGTAACGCTTGGAACAAATGGACCCTGCCTCTTTGCATGTGTTAGGTTCAGCATTCATCAGTTTCTGAGCCCCCAGAATCCGGGATTTACACAGTAGACGTTGAATCCCTGTGCTTCACGTTCTGTACAAATGTTTTGACTCTGCAGCTCACACTCCGCCTCCTTCCATCAATGCCTTTCACAGGCTTGTTTTGTCTTTTCTGTCTTTTCACTGATTTTAGAACATTTTGCAGCTTAAAAAAACAGGGTCTAAGAATTTTAAATGTGCCTATTTCATGGGTCTCTCAGTCACAAAATATGCTGTTTCTATTGCAACTTGGAACCAAATGCTCACTGAGTGTATGTTGGTTCCTGGGAGTAGCAGTCCCCTATTGTTTTCCACGGAGCACCACAATCGCTAATTCTATGGGAAAGTGACCGTTTAGCAGCGGTTCTCAACCTGTGGGTCGCGACCCCTTTGGGGGTCGAATGACCCTTTCACAGGGGTCGCCTAAGACCATCGGAAAACAAAAAGATATTTACATTACGATTCATAACAGTAGCAAAATTACAGTTATAGAGTAGCAACGAAAAGAATTTTGTGGTTGGAGGTCACCACAACATGAGGAACTGTATTAAAGGGTCACGGCATTAGGAAGGTTGAGAACCGCTGGTTTAAAGGCTACCAACAATAGGATCTAACAAAACAGCTCACTGCTCAAATCCTAGGATTAACTTGTTCCTCTGTGACCTGTGCTAGTTGCAGACAACCTTGTACCTCTCCCGAGTCCTGAAGTGCTGCTGATAAGCCGTGTATAAGCTCTGCCCTTCTCGTGAACGTTCCAGAGCCAGGGTGTCAGCTTTCTGAGGACAGCTCATTTGCCTTCGGCTAGGTCCAACTGAAACAATAAAGCCCATTTGGTTTAGTGAAATGTCTTAACTATACCGTGCCTGTACTTTTAGCGACTATAGTTCCTAACTAAGGGGAAAAGAGCAAACAAAACCCATTTTCTTTTAGCCAGAGGACATCTGATCACAGTGCGTCTCCCAACACATCTGGATTAATTTAACCCCAGGAAGGCTTCAAGGCAGGAAGAAGAACATATTGAACAAGGTTCTTATTAATATTTGGATTATAATTTGGCTTTTGTCATCCATTAACAAACTCATCAATTCAAACACAATTGACATTCCATTTTGTCTTTGGATTTAGGACTTATTAAACTGACAGGATTTTATATTTGTACCATTGTTTGGGTTTATTTTTATGCTAAGGAAGCTAAGAAAGTTTGATAGAATTTGAAGCTTAGGCAAAGGCTGTAAACCAAGACCAGTGCCCTAACACCCATGGTAGAAACTGAAAGAAACTTTTACACAAGCTTTCTTAGTTTTAAAAGGAAGAGGTATCATTTCAGTTCTATTTCTGTTATATCATTTTCTTCTTATATATTTTTCTTTTTGGTAGCAAAGCCCTCCCAAAAGTTACCTCCCAGAAAACTCAGTAGTTGCTCTCATCTCCGTGCAAAGACTATGGAGTAAAACCTGCACAGCTAGTTGTACGGTGTGCATTTATCCTGTCGTGTGTTTCTGTTCCTGTAGTTATGAAAAAAGGCAGCAGTTAACTTTTCATCATGGAAGAAATACGAACATTATCGTAACTGTTTTCATCCGTCTCACTGGGCTTTGGTCTCACCAGAGTTGTCAGTCTTTAATCCTTTGAGTCATTTGGCTCCTTTTTCGAAAATCTTTGATGTCAATTCCAATTATTCGACATCAAGAGCCTTCGTGGTAGGTGGAGTGTTAGGTGAACGTGGATCCAAGGCCATTTCCTCTCCTTGTTACCACCTCCCTGTGTAACCGAGTTGAGAGATCCTCTGCTCCTGTGTCCTCAGGTTAATCTGTGTCTGGTCTTAGGATGCCTTGCCTCCTGCTAGCTGATTTTAAAAGGAAAGGCTGGGATCGTATGTCTAAATGTGACATATGTTTCTTTTGCTACTAGTACTCATTTAGACATCTACTTTAGACATCTACTTCTTTGGCTACTAGTACTCATCTACAGTCCTTTATTACTCATACTGAATTCTGATTCCACTTCTGCTTCCCCTAAATAGGTCAGAGCACCCCACTTCTGTACTGCTAAGCTGTAGAACTGTTTCTCTCCTATAAGGATAAAACAAAGTGTTTGGGATATTCAGGGAACCCGCTCCAGTGTTATATTGCCATTTATTGGGAAGGGCTGGGATCATATGTATATCTGTGTTCTGTAAAGGATTTGACTTGCTGGTTTTCAATAAAATTTATTAGCACTATACATGGCCATGTGCTTTTTGTTTGCTTTGGTTTAAACTTAAGAAATATTGGCCTTCAATGGTAAAGGATGGCTTTTTCTCTATACACACTCCCTAGAGTTTGCTCCTGACGTTTTCTTCATTGTTGGATCAAACAAAACTTGTGGTACTTTGTGAAAATAGAGATGTATTAGAGGAAAATATTTTAAAAGCTGATCATTATAGAAATAGGAGGAATCTACCAGGCTTCAAGCAGAGCAGTATATTATACATAGAATCCACCCTGTGATTAATAACTAAAAGCCTAATTCCAGAAATCGGTTTCCCCACTGGCCAATCCTGAGTGGAACTTTGAGTAGAGGAGGGAATTAAATGAGGCATAATTATAAAATGTATGTGCAGAGGTTGGACAGAAGTTCTGCTGAATCACCTGGCCAGGCTCTGTGCCACTCATTTTGATGACATAGCTGTGTAGCATCACTTAGGACAGCAAAGACCTGCCCAATTATAAAATACTTGTTTTCATCCCTGAATTAGATTTTGTCCTCTAGTGCATCATATGATTAAAATACCCTTCATACCCCTAGTCTGTTGTCTGAATGGCTCATGATACTAAGGATAAATGCACATTTTTATTTTGCTCCTTTCACTGAATGAAGGTGGAGGTGGTGGTATTACATCTTTAGATGTGGGCAGGGAGGCACGGAGAGGACCCTGCTTCTCAGAGGCCACCCAGACTCTAAGCGATGCCTGGAGTCTTCCCACTCGCTCCCCACGAGCTTCCATTCCAGCCAGTAAGGTCAGCTAGCCCTGGCCTCTGGCTTACCACCCCCTGGCTCGTCTTCCTACTGGGAGAAAAATAATGACAGGCACATTAAATCGCACCACAGTTGTAATTTCGTGAACAAACAAAACTTGAAGAAGTCATTTGTCTCCTGTGACTTACCCATATAGTGTGATTTATTTTTTCCTGACTTTTGCATTAGAAAAGACCTTTTCCTCTCTTCTTCTCATACTCTGTGAATAGAATAATAATTTTTGTGTCATTTCTGTTTCCCTAGATAGTTCCCACTGTGGCGTCTGTGTCATTAAAAGTTTCATGTATTCTCTACTCTTATAACCGGCATTGAAACAGAGGAAAGCTTAACAGTCAGTCCCCTGATAATTTGCTTTCTCATTCTGTTTCTTATGCAGACTCACCCTCTTCCTTCTAAAGCTGAGGATCAATTAACAAAACGAGAGAGCCTTAGCTTTTTTACGATGGAGAACATGTTGGCTTCCTTGGTCCCATTACATGAACTATTGAAACACTGCTTTTCCGAAGCCCTGTGCTAGTGCATCCTTGGGGACTCATTAGACAATTTTGTGAGTAATGGGAGAACGCAGCAAACACAATAAACCAAGAGGTGAAATAATGAGAAGAGAGAAATGGATCTTAGCAGGACCGCTGCTCGCAGTCAACCAGTTTAATTTCGCATTGCTACATTATGTTAACTTTTCATCCACATGCAAATAACCACGGTGACAGTAAATCTGCAGCTAATGTTGTATCACTCTACAAGATAAGTGTTAGAGAAAGCGTTTGTGAAGCACATAGTCGTTACGCAGGGAAAGGCAGGATCCTTGATAAATCAGTTTATAAAGTAGTGTCGTAGTTGCCTAATTTCTCTTCTCTGATGTAGCTGGGACATTAAGAAAGGCATTTGTTACCCAAAAAATACTGATGTGGCTCATTGTGAAAGTTGACGGCGAATATTGATCTCTGAGGATTCAGCATTCAGGAATTAGCATACACCCCTTTTGCTGGTATAATCCAAACTGCGGGCACTGTTTCTGTGACTGCAGACATGCCATTTGATTTCATCAGGCCATGAGCAATGCTTTCAAGCCATTTTAGCCCCGAAATTTATTGAGCATGTGTATGCAAGGTGCCTGGTGAGGTTGGCAAGGGGGCGCTGTGTGTAAGATGGACAGACTCTGACAATGCAGAGTCTGGTGGAAAAAAGTGATGAGATGAGCACTTACAAGGAAGTGGATTCTAATATTACTGGTAACCCCCCCCACCTACTCTTTTCATTTGTTCCACGAATTTCAAGAATGCCCAGGCCTCTCATGTGACCTGTGGTTTCTGGCTGTACTTGGAGATATTGGAGTTTATAATTCTGCTGGGAGAAGACTTTAAAAGCCACTCCGCCAGCCCAGAAGCACTCAGCTCCTTCATGTGGGCCGCCTTCGTGATGAGTGAGGTGGAGGGAAATTTGAGGACAAAAAGTCATTTGTCCCCAAAATTATTTCCACTCCGTTGGCCGACTTCTTAAAAACTCCCAGCATTGCCATTATTAATGATGAGGTGAAGTCCATGTCCTTCAGGAATCCTGTTAAATGCACATATTTTCAAAGAGACAGTTCATCAGCCTGCTATTAGTCATTCTCATCTTAATAACTGGTTCATGACATACATAGCAATTAACTTAACCTCAATCCAAACAATATTAATTGTGCGGCTAGAGCATGTTAGGTTATAGCATGTAGCTAGGATTAGGAAGATAAGATGATTGCTGCTCACAAAAGACTGCTTACATTTGGAGATAAATATAAATAGGTAATTTCAATGTGATACGGAACCTCACCAGAACTGGCTTTTGGTAATGGAAGGGATAAGGAGTGTGTGAGTCAAGGAAACTGCCTTAAAAAACAAAAAATAATGGAAGCCAGGGCTTTGCAACCATTATGTGCATACATGTCACCTGGTGATATGATTAAAACGAATCTAAAATGCCCGTCCAATGGAGCCTGAGAGGCTGCATTTCTAATGAGCTCCCAGAAGATGCCTGGGCTGCCGTCCACAGAGCCTGCTGTGAGCACGATGGGTCTAGATAAGCAATCCAGCATGGCA